CAGGGCAAGGAAGTGTGGGGGAGGGGGGGGGGGGGGTAATCTCCCAATGAAGAAACATGTTCGTCTATTGGGACCCCCCTGCCTAATAGGGAACTTCATTCATAAAGAACAGAGTGAATTGGGAGAATACTGCATTATGGCCACTAGATGGAGGTGAGGGTAATATCTAATCTTAGTATCAAAAGATACAATATAACAATTATAGGGAATTAGCAAATAAATGTAACCATTACTACTATAAGAATCCCCATAGAAGCAATGCTTACATTTATTTGCTAATTCCCGCAACATTGTATCTCTTGCTACTAAGATGTATTTATTTTCTATAGTCCTTGGCTCTATCTAGGTCATGATGAGGAACTTTCCCGATTCAGGGCTTTTTCTCACTTTCTCTAGACCAGACCTGGATGCATTCCTGCATATGTATTTATGTGTGTTTATGCATCCCCTGCATTTAAAAACAATTGGTTTTGCTTGGGTTTAAGCACATTCCAGTGCATTCTGGTGTGTTTACGTGCGTTTTTGTGTGTTCTAGTGCAAAAAGAAGCATGCTGCTATGGAACTGAATGCAATGGTGTCAACCAGTCACTTAAAACCATTGGCATTACAGTATATGCGTCTTTGGTGCAGATAAAAAACACACCGGTCTGGAGATGGTGTGAACAGGCCCTCACTCTATGTTCTTTTGAATGAACCTATTTTTACTACGCCCCATAATATTTATAGTACATTCGGGCAGAAGAGATAATAGCCTAAGAACATTACATTCCCACATCAGCTGTTCATTTGAATGCAACAAATGTACATACAGTTTTGCTGGAGAAATAGCTAAGCAATGAAAAAAAATAAAATGAACACGGAAATGTGAATTTCCTCAAATACACATTGATTTGCCTTTAAGCTTGGTTATAGGTTTGTAAAAGCAAACCAATAACATACTGTGTATTGATTCCCTTTTTTTGGCATCAATTAATAAAAATTGCAGTCAGCGTATATATATATATATCTATAGATATATATATCTATATATATCTATAGATATATATATATATCTA